AACATCACTGGATATCCGGACAAAATAGTGCCAAACATTGTTCACTACGTGTTGTTCGCAATACATCGCATAGAGTTCGCGCACTTCCTGTCCATAGTGTCGGTGCTTAGGAACCAACGGCCGGACATTATATACATTCACTGCGATTGCCATGAACTGGAGGGCGAGTACATTAGACGAGCCGTTAGTATCGCCAACCGGATTACCACCAGGATAATTGTGCGCCAAATACTAAAACCTACGGAAATATTCGGGCGACCTCTGAGTGAAAGGTGGAGGGACTGGCATGCGTCCGATCTAACCAGAATACGGGTGCTCATGGAGTTCGGTGGCATATACCTGGACAGGGATGTGTATGTATGCAAATCTATGAACCCATTCCGTCACTTTGAAATGACCCTCAATTGGGATTTGGGTCAATACCTGGGCAGTCAGGTACTGGTTGCTCATAAAAATGCCAGATTTTTGAGTCTATGGTACGATTCATATCACGATTACGATAAGAATCGGTGGTATTATAACATTGGTGAGTTACCCACCAAACGGATACTATACAAGCGGCCACACCTCGTGCACCGGGTTATCGGTGGGTTTGGAGTGGACGCACCCAAAGTGTGTCCAAAGGTCTACAGAAAGTATTACAAGAACTGGAGGCAAGAGTTTTATACCATTCATCTGGTGCTGAGGGGACATGAGATCAGTTGGAAGGCCTGGTGTTTCGGTAAAAAATACCCGCCCCACACAAAGTTTTATGAGCACAATGTTACCCAATTGGATGTTACTTTTGGGGAAATGGTGGCCGATTTGCTGGACTTTGAGAGACAACTTATTTAAAAAAAACCTTCATTTGTTTTTACTATAATTTAAATTTATATTATTTTATAAATATAATTATTTTTTATTTTAAAACTCTATTTAAGTAGTATAATAATAAGTTATATAATATAAGTTATAACAAAACTGTTAATATTTAACTAAACTGCCTCAAAATATTTATTTTTTGACATTTTAGAAAATTATACTTTAAATTATTAACATACTATATAATACAGTATATTGTGTTTTACAATAGTTAATTATTTTATATTAATTAAAGATTTTAATGCTCGTAAACTTAAATACTAATATAAATCATTTTTAAAAATCCTTTCTATAAATGTTTAGCTAACATATTTTTATAACTAAATTTTCAATTAATATAATTTTTTTAAAATATTGTTAAGGAATTATGAAAAGAAGTAACTAAAATACTAATTACTCATTTTAATTAATCTTATAATCATATAAATCTTTATTATTGCAATTTTATTATTTTATAACCATAGATTTTACTAACGATAATATAATAAATTATAAGTATTATTCAACACATCATAATGTAGTATAACATCAATATAATATAATACTTAATAAAAATTAGAACAATCTAATAAATGTACATTATTAATAATATTGTAGTTTTTACAAAATTATTTAACTACAAGTATTAATAATTGGTAACCACTAAAGTGTGTCAACTAAATTGGATATTTTATAACCATATTTAAAATCTGTTCACAAAATGAAAATTCAAAGGAAACTTCTATTATTAACAATCATCATAATGACAGCAATGGTAACATTGGTTTATAAACTGAGACCAATTACTTCTTATGAAAACACCATCTTTTCACTCAACCCCTACGACAATCTCATAATGCCTTACCACTACCCCTATGAAAATCTCACAATCCTTGACCCAAACCCTTACGACAACATCACTGGATATCCGGATAAAATAGTGCCAAACATTGTTCACTACGCGTTGTTTACTATACATCGCATAGAGTTCGCGCACTTCCTGTCCATAGTGTCGGTGCTTAGGAACCAACGGCCGGACATTATATACATTCACTGCGATTGTCATGAACTGGAGGGCGAGTACATTAAACGAGCCGTTA